CAAATACTTCCACCAAATACATGAGAACATTGATATCAACAAAATTCATGAATCCTCAGAATATTCTGTCGAAAAATTTCCATTTTTTAATCAGGTATTTTTTTTCCATTTTTTTTTTCTCTATATATAGAAAAAGTCATCCATAAACAGAAATGACTTCGTCCTAGGTCAATATAATTTAAAAAGGTCCACATATAACTTTTTAACCTGGTCAAAAGTCCATAATTAATAAATATACTTACTCATGTAGTTTAAATCCACGGCATTTGATATCTCGTGTGAAGTTGTCATATGTGCAACAATACCCTTAGGCTATCTCTTCTTTGTATTTTAGCCAAATAATATAGATCCCGCATTAAATAATCATTACACCGTATGAAAACTAGCTCATTGTTGAAGGCCTACGGTGATTGCTTATTTCCACATCATGTATACGCTTGTGCAATACTTGCCTCCTTGGTAATCATACCCCTGCTTTTTTTATGTCAATGTACGTTACCCGCTGAAAATGAAATTAAATCGGCTAAAATTCGAACATATTTTTGTTTGATTAGTGATTTCTTTACGACGCATCAGCACAAAAAGGCTATATTGCGACGAGAGCGAATTTTAACAAAAGACAGTTTTTAAATTCAGATAAAAGGTCTTGCAATTTACTAAAACTTTAGCTTAAAGCGAAATTATGTATGTCAAATAAAGTTTACAAATAAGTTAAGTAATAAAATTTTTATTAAAACATATACAAATCAGAATTAAGAAACTCAATCTATGAATACCTATGCTAAATCAATCTTTAAAGACCCAAATGTTGCAAAACACTTGTCCTACCTCCATGAAAAATATTTTGTTGTCCCCGCAGATAAAGCCCCAAACAACATCGTTTTTGTGTGTAAATCACATTACATAAATTGCTTGATAAATGAATTAGGTATTGACAATTCACTTGGAAACTCAACATACACTCCCACGACACTTACTAAAGAGCAAATCCTGGATAATCATAAGTCTGTTCTATGTTCCTTTGGAATTTCAACTAAAGATGAAGAACTGGATCTTCCATCACTATATTGGATACCCCAACTACATAAGTGTCCTTACAAACCACGGTATATTGCTCCACAAAGCCTCTTTCTAAATTATTAGCATCAATCTTATCAGCAATCAAAGCCGGGCTTCAAAGTTATTGTGAAACTACCTATTCTAGAGGTGGCGTGAATCAGATGTGGATACTAAAAAATTACAAAGATCTTTTTTAGATTACATACAATCTAAGACTGTTTCATCTTGCAATAATATTAAAACATTTGACTTTTCTACACTTTACACAAGTATTCCCAATTCCAAACTAAAAGACAAATTGAAAGAGTTGGTCCTACTTTGTTTCATAAAAAAGAATGGCCAACGTAGATATAAGTATCTTGTCTTAGGGAGGGATAAATCCTACTTTGTAAAAAAAACACTCTGATTCAAACAAAAAATTCTCTGAAACTGACATTATCAAGATGCTTGATTTCTTGATAGACAACATATTTTTACGTTTGGAGGACGTGTTTTTCAACAAACAATCGGCATTTCCATGGGAACCAACTGTGTCCCTCTTCCTGCCGACTTGTTCTTTTATTCATTTGAAGCTGACTTCATATATAGGAACTTCTTAGAAAGAAAGAAAAGAAGTAAGCAGTATCCTTTAACTTTACTTTCCGCTATATAGATGATGTTCTTTCACTAAATAATTTAAAATTTGGTGACATATGTTGAACGCATCTATCCAATCGAATTTGAGATAAAGGATACAACAGATACAGTTAAGTCTGCCTCATATCTTGACTTAAATATAGAAATTGACAATGAGGAACGGGTGCCACATGTGGAGCAGGATCTGCTTACCCTTCCGTAGCACCTGAGATCACCCCCAGTTTTTGGTGGGGTTCGTGTTGCTAAGTCTTTAGTTTTCTACGTTGTGTCATCTGTACTATTATTTGTCTGTTGGTCTTTTTATTTTTGGCCATGGCGTTGTCAGTTTGTTTTCGATCTATGAGTTTGACTGTCCCTCTGGTATCTTTCGTCCCTCTTTTTGAAAACAAAATTTACGACAAAATAGATAATTTCAGCTTCCCAATTGTGAACTTTCCATTTCTATGTAGCAACATTCCAGCAGCGCCTGCATACGGAGTATATATCTCCCAGTTGATACGATATTCCACGGCTTGTATTTCCTATCATAATTTCCTTAATAGAGGGCTGCTGCTCACAATGAAGCTATTAAACCAAGAGTTCCATGTGGTGAAGTTGAAATCATCCCTTCGTAAAATTTACGGACGCCAACACGAGTTGGTTGACCGTTATGGAATATCCATTTCACAGATGATAGCGGATATGTTCCAAATGTCGTAACTACAATCCCGTCCCCTTTTCCCCGAATGTGACCTACCAAATTAGATTTATTACCGGGTTTGTACTAACATGAGCAACACGACGGGTACCACATGTGGAGCAGGATCTGCTTACCCTTCCGGAGCACCTGAGATCACCCCAGTTTTTGTGGGGTTCGTGTTACTCAGTCTTCAGTTTTCGATATTGTGTTTTGTGCACTTTTGTTTGTCTGTTTGTATCAAGAAAGGTTATCACTTTTTCGTTAATTTTCAAGGTACAGAGGACTGGTGAATTGTTCCTGTCTCGGTGTGTTTATTCAAAGGAATTTATTGACATCTTTCTATATATAACAATGAACACCAAACTATTATCTAAATTTTATATATGCATTTTTCTAATCATTTTAAAAATACAAGTCGCCATTAAAAAATTAGTAAATGTGGTTTGATTGAGATGACTATCCACCAAATGTTATTGTTGATTATTAGCCAAAGTATGCATATAAGTTAGAAATAAAGTACCAAATTGACAATAATATTATTTTCTTATGATTCTCAAAATAAGAAACATTGTGGGGTAATGGTTCGGTCACAAAAGTGTCCTGTTTTTTTTAATCATGTGTGTTAACTCTTAGTTTATAATCAAATGCTCCGTTGTTTTCTGTTTTTTTGTTACTTTTTCCGTGTTATGGCTTATTTTTTTTATTGCAATCCTCTTTGGAAGAAAGAGATCTCAATATAACAATTCCCGTTCTCCTACGATAAACAAAACTTTAACGCATAAACCTATTACGTGTGCGTCAATATGTCAAGCTCTAAATCCTTCTATGTCTAGAAAAGTTGTTAATAAAATATCTGCTAGTAACACACAAGTTCCTAAATGACTAAAACATTTAGATTTAACCAAAGTCGAGGTTCCTGTTTGGGATGGGCACCTTTATATTGTCTGGATAAAACTATAATTATTTTATCCTTTCATTCCGTTGTGAGTTCACGAGACTTTTTCCGAAACGATTTAATTTAGTCTTTCTACGTTAGATTTTTTTTCAGGAAATGATAAAAACAGAATTTTTCCTGCGTTCATATATTAACTAGTTTATGCTATATTGGGTCCTGGTGTTTGTTTCACGTAGATTCAAAGCCTGACATTAATTAATGACTGCGGAAAGAATTTATATTCTTCCTCTGTCATTCAATCATGTGTTGTATCATTTACCCCTTTTGTTTGACAGAATGGACACCATTAACAACATTTTAGCGGTATTTTACGTTTACTGAAGTGTCTATACATTCTTCAATTGTGACAATTTTGTGAGGTTAATATTAGTTTAAGATTGAAAGTCGTAATTGCCTACTCTCTTGAAAACAACTTCCTGTGACGATGTAATATCAGAAATAGAATTTTCAGTCTCTTGTGATTTGATTGTCTGTCATATAAACAGATAACACACCGTCAGTTTCATTTGATGTCAAAATAAAGAAAGAAACAAATTTTCCAAATTATATTTAAATAAAGCTATAAGCCTTTCTTTTTTTTTAGAAAGAAGAACTTGTGATTAAAAACAAAAATTATCATTTATGTAAATGTACAACTGTATGAACATTTGAATTGTGTTGTAGATTTTTAGGATTGTTGCAACAATCGCTTGGGATTATCAGTGACACTTTTTTATACTACAATTTGTTGCAATATAATTCCATTTTCATGATAATGGTTAGATTTATCTTGATTTAAAGTGCATTAAATAACATTTTGCTTTAGAAAGTCTAGTCAGATAGTCACTAATATGTCTTAATCTGTAGTGCAATTATCTGCACAAGTAGACATAAGATTATTACATGTATGCTAATGATTTAGTTTTACTAAATGGAGTGTTATGTTTTTAATAGTCGTCATTTTGTAATTAAGAAATTTATTGATATATCCATGGAAGTATTATATTACTTCCACTATTTTGACAAAAACATGACTTTCTGTGTTCATTCAAACGTTTCCGTTATTCAGTCATTTCTTAATGCGCTTTACGCAGAATTAAGCCGTTACAACAACAAAAATAAAAGACTTAGTCATGACAAGTTCAAAGAATTATATTTTGAGTTACAATTAAATCTTTATCCATACCGTCACTTAAAAAAAAGCCGATGTGATCAAACATCGCGACTTGAACGCATCAAACCATATGTTTAAGTTTCACCGTATCACAGTATTCAACTGATTCTTGATATCTTGCGTTGCTGTTTTATTTGCGTATACCCAACAATTCATATTATTCATATGCAATCTTTATATTTGTTTTCAATCAGATAAAAATAGTTTAATAACATTGGCGAACATTTTTCAGACTACCACAATCAAACCGATCCAATACAAGTAGATGCTTGCGGCAGCATAAGTCAACTGTTTCTAAATTTGCACTTTTAGTTCATGATTTTTTAATAATATGCAGATACAAACTGAGATAATATAAACGTAACACAGCAAAACGCAATTTATTTTAGCTTATAGTAAACACAAATCACCTCGGCTGGCTATATCTTTATTGCAGTATATGTATATATACAGAAATAAATATGTAGATTATAATGTAGTATGTCATGTCCGTATTACCATTTCGAGAAAAGATGTCCTTAATAAGCCCCTTTCTTTACACCATATCCGCTACCCAAACCATATCCGCTACCCAAACCATATCCGCTACCCAAACCATATCCGAGACCCAAACCATATCCTCTACCATATCCTCCGATATATCCTAAACCTAATCCATATCCCTTGCCATATCCACCATATACTCCGCCATATCCTAATCCAAGGCCGCCATATCCTAATCCATATCCGCCATATCCTAATCCAATCCCGCCAGATCCTAATCCAATCCCGCCATATCCTAATCCAATCCCGCCGTATCCTAAACCATAACCGCCAATACGGCCATATCCGCCATCATAGCCTCCACAACCCTTACCATAACACCGAGCATGGGTATTTACGAAAACGGTTGACAAAAGTACAACGAGAGCAATGGCGAGCTTCATTTTTAGCTAAAAATGTTATAAAGATGATAAATGAAAATAAAATATACACAGCAGTAATTATAGATTATACCATGTCCTTTTCCATATCGGCCCTTGTATCATCCCGAGACTCCCATACCAGGCCAAGGCGCTAGCCGAGGTCTCATATAGGTCGAGGGGTGATACCAGGGCCCATAAGGAAAAGGACATATTATAATCTATTTAACACAAATGAAAAAAGAAGAAAGAATTTTGTTATTCCGTCTGGTTTCTCGTCCGTCATTGTTGTTCGGAACGTTTTGACATATCATGATATTTTCTCTGGATCTAGAACTCTATCATTATAGAAACTTTTGTGTACGTTAAATCAATTATATAATTGGTTTATTTGCCAATGCGCGTTCGGTCCATTTTACTCTATAACATGTTGATTTTATGGATTAATGTTAAATAATGACACGATATTACATTTTATTATAATAGATTTAATAGTATAAAGCTGTAGGCGTAGACAATATTTTATTTCTGAATTTCTATTTTAAAATGTTATATAGATTATTAGTGTATATTTTGATTGTGATTGAAAGTTCATTATCAATGCAAGATCTCGCGTTGTCCCTATGAGACGATCTGTCGAAATGACCATCGTATACTATATAGTTTTATCTCTTGTTTTTACTGAGCGTGTCTTGGCCGTTGGTACGGGGAGGAACTTTCTTAGTTGTTTGTAAATGATTAGTGAACGAAATGTATGAAAGTTTACTCAAACAATATATCAAATATTATTATATTATGTTGAATATTTAATAATAAAATCCGCCGTCCAGCGTACTTGACGGGCTAGTCGGCAAAACTAATTTCATTAAAACAATTGATTAAAACTTGCAGCTCTAAAAAAGCATAAGCATTCTTATGAATTGTTCAACCCTCTCCCCACCTTCTCCCAAAAGACACACAAAAAAACTACATTAGGGTATAGATGGGGAGTAGTAATTTGAATTGACCAACTATATATGAGGGTCTGGATGGGGAGTATAAATTTATTTATTGTTTAATGTTTAGGCAGTTTTTCTCTATTCTTTATTTTTTGCCAATTATTCTCTATGTTAATATTTTAGCACACTATTATCTCTGTTCTTTATTCTTTTTACCTATTTTTCTCTGGGTTTTTTTTTCCTATCTTTTTTTTCTCTCTCTATTCTTAATTTCTATTCTTCTTTTTTGCTCATTGTTCTGTTTTTTTCCCCCCAATATTCTATATTCTGTAAACCCCATCCAGACCCTGCTATATTTACAGTCCCAAGAGTCATCATCTTATCACCTAAAAGATCATCGTCTGCTTAAACCTTATTACAATTAACTCCAGTTTATTTCTAATGAAAGAATGTGGATAAAACATAGAATCTCAAACAAAATACAAGATATTTCACTTACCTTTTGAGACGTTGAATTGTGCAGATGAAGTACTTTCAGTGGTTTATATACTCTAGCATGGACCGCAAGATGGACTAATATTTCCAATTCGTCAAAAAAAATTTTGACATTAAAATGCACGATTTTTTTTATTATTTTGTTTTTATCCTTTTAATGACGTTACATATCTAATAAAAATAACCGCTCATTAGAATATAATTTATCAACATGATTTACAATATATATCCTTTGTAATATTAGTAAGTATTGGGTTCGGTTTTTAGAACTTTCTACTGGAATATGAATGACTTTTAGAGGTTTTTATGACATCCCAATTTTAAATTTCAAGTACATTGACTGATGACCACACAGACAACTTTTTTACATGAAATTTTTAGTGTGTTCAATTATCTTTTTTATGTATACTTATACGTATAATGGTTCTCATTCTTTAGGATGCAAACGTTGGTTTAGAAAAAAAAAATAAAAAAAATTCTTAAACAGCATAATTTTATGATGTATAATCTTTTTTTTTAATAGAGGACTGAAAAGAATTGAAAGGTAAATTTGCAGTATGTAATTTATCATTAAAACGTTCTGAATATCACGAGCAGTAGGCATGCCATTTAGCATCACACGTATTTGAAATGAAACAAAAGGCAAATACTACAGATGAAGCCATGAAGCCTTTTAGACTTAAAAATATTTTGAAACACCAACCGTCAGTTGAATATGAAGGAAAGAGACACAAATCGGAAACATTAAAATCATCTCTTTTATTGTAAAGTGTAGTTCTCAACCGACCGTTATTATCCATTTCTAGATGTAAGTTAAAACATGAAACCGTCTTTTCTGGTTTGAATTGTTTTACATTTTGCCTTACCTGGGTCTTTAATAAATTTTTATACAGCTACGTTTGCATTTGTAATTTTATAGCGCTATACAGCTACTTTTGCATGTGTATTTTTATAGCGTTATACAGCTACTTTTTCATGTGTATTTTTATAGCGTTATACAGCTACTTTTGCATGTGTACTTTTATAGCGCTATACAGCTACTTTTGCATGTGTACTTTTATAGCGCTATACAGCTACTTTTGCATGTGTACTTTTATAGCGCTATACAGCTACTTTGGCATGTGTACTTTTATAGCGCTATACACTTGGATTTAATGATTTACTACTGTTCAAGTTTTTCGAAATTATTATACTATTTTAGTACCATAATTTCACATGTGTTATGATTAAGGTAAGTTTAAAGTATATGTAGAAATGTATTGATGTTTTTTAAATTTTGAAAACAACTTTTAGCGCTTAAACGTTTGAAGCGTTTTATCATGTCTTCGGGGAATGCGGACAGCTGGAAAAATCTAAAATTGAAATACCAACAAACAAAGTTCGGAAACTATTGATATAACAAAGCGCTTGATTTAATAAATCATTTACCATATGCAACTATTCTTAATATACATTGTTTTTAAATAAGGAATTATTTTAAGAGTATAATACTGTTTGGTGGTTGTCATTCCTAGTATTTAGATCATTTCAGTGTGAATCAAACCATATCCTTCATAATCGATTACTACTTTAAAAACGTTAAGATACTACGAAGGCGTTTGAAATCATGAGATCGTAGGGACCTACAAAGCCAAAGATAAACAACGGTTCACAAAACATATCAGGTAATCTTGTCCGCTACACAGAAGATTCAAATAGTAAATAGTCATTCACTACCATGCCTGCTCTGAAAATTTGTAAGTCCCTACTATGCATTAGCTAACAAAACTGGACAAAAATCCTTCAAAGTTTGTTTCATGTCGGTTTCTAGTAAGTGTTTTACGACTTATCTTTTTGTTCTGTTAACTATTTCCCCTACTTCTATTGAAAAAGAAATTGTTATTAATTTTTGGAATAAATTAATGAATTATTATTGGAATGTCAAAAACAGTCTTTGGATGTTTTGGATAAATAACGTGCTTTAGATGGTCGATTAAATTTTGTAACAGTTTTGACTATTCGACTCTGTACACTACACTTCCACACAATCTTATAGAACAGAAGTTCTTTTACTTAATTAAATAGTCCACTGAAAAATCTGGTTGCAGATTTATTTGCTGCATTTCATATAAAGCCATCTTCTGTAATGAAAAAGGGAAATATGCTAGAAATACTTACTGGAACTGTGATGAGATATTTAAAGCTGTAAGTTTTCTCCTTGACAAAATCTATGTACGTTTCGGCAATAAAGTTCATCGATTAGTTGTAGACATTCCTATGGGCACCAATTACACCCCTTTGATACCAGACTTGTTCCTGTATTGTTATGAAACACGGTTTAGAGTAAAGGTCCGTCTAAATTACATTTAATTGATAAATTCGAAAACTCTAACCGTAACCCTGATGATATTTTTGATTTAGATAATTAAGAATTTTCTAATATACTGCGAAAATTTAATTAAGGGAACTTACTTTAGATAAATTTAATACAGCCAGTGATTATTGTCCTTTTTTATTTGGATACTTCAGTGTCACATGGGAAACTGTATACAGTAATTTATGATAAAAAGACAATTTTTGTTATTCCCTACTGTTGATTTATTTCCCCTTTTTAAACGAAGATGTTCCTTTGGGCACTTCTTGTGTATATTTCACAACTTGTTCGCTATGCTCGAGTCTGTTGTCGCGTTTTAGATTTCAATGAACGTAATCTATGTATAACTGGTTAATTATTAAGTCATGTATTTCGTTACATTATAAAATTTTACTCATTCTTTCATAGATGCAAAGATTTTGCTACGAAGTTTGACTGTACCTGTAGAATTATTAAAAAACGGGATATTTTGGAAAATTGACATTATATTTGGACTTTGAAAAAAAATTCATCACCGATATCACCGGAATTACATAGATTACATTTCCTTTCACTGCGGTCAATGTTTTGCCATCTCCCGTTTTCTATAAGCAACGCATGCATATTCTGACGTATCAATCAAGTGTTTTTACTCCACCATATCTTGATATATATCAGCGTTGATGCTGTAGCATAGCGCGTCTGTTTCCGTAAAAAAGTTTTGCTCTATAGGAAACTAAAACAAGAAAGACCTCAGTATTGTCAAAGCATATATTTTACATAATTTACGTGCAAAGAAAAACCAGTGATTATTCATATCAAAGGAGTCTATCGCCACTAGTACTCGCCTCAGGTCGGGAAAATGGCTCCTTAATCTACCGACCGTATGGGTTCCCAGTTTTGATATTGATATAAATAACCAAATGATTGATGTTCAAATATGTTTGGTTAAGGCTTTCGCCAAAGAAGTCACCACCATCGACGCTCTATATCACTACAAAGTGGATCTCTCGTCGGTTTCGAGGCTGCAAAGGCTTAGGTTGGAGAGATCTTCCTGGCTATAGCGGGGCATACCACATGACAATTACCCTCCATTGTAAACTTCATGGTATTGCCCAAAGTCAGTACACCATACCACAGGAGACAACTTCAAACTTTCGAGGACTTTCAATTGAAATATTTTAACCCCCTTTTTTGTAAGCAATAACCTTCAAGTCACTTTCATACAAGTACCCGTTTACAAGTGTACGTAGTTCTAT